AGAGAGAGAGAGAGAGAGAGAGAGAGAGAGATTACCTGATAGTTTTCTAACTGTTGATCTGTAAAAGTAGTCACTTTATTACCCATTATATAATAAAGGAGACAAATATGAAACACAATATGAATAGTGATATGAATTTCAAATCAGTAAAGAATATTGAAATTTGAATTCTTCTTCAATAGTATTGAGTAAAAAGTGTTGAAAAGTGACGGCAATAGCACTTCACAGCACAACACGTCTACTACTGAAGCGTTCGGTGAGTGAAAAGTGTGGAAACGATAGGAAATGATTGGATAATATGGTAGGCGTTGAGTGGTTTGCAGTGAAAGTGCTCTAAAGGGGGAGTAATAGCGATAAAAGCGACGCATTTGTGAAGTGAAGCAAACATTCAGTCATTCAGTGATTGAATGCTTTGAATGAATGGTTGAATAAAATGGCGAATAATAGTCACAACACTTCCGAAGACATCTTCAGTACGGATCCCATCGACAGATTTCCCACACATTCAACACATCCGCCACTCTTTGATAACGAAGACGACGACACCGACAGCGACCACAATGAAGACCTCTTCGTCTCCACTCTTGAGGTAAAGTACAACTCATTCAACACTTGTTTCACTCGACTGTCAATCAATGTCTTATTGTCTTCGCCTCTACTATAGAGTCCTCCGATGGACACCAAAACCACGGCTAAGAACAACACAATTGAGGATCCAATGAATGATTTGATGGCAAGTCATGAGATAGATCTCGACGACGAAGAGGACAGTTATGGCAAAAACGGGTTAAACGTTTCCTCCGCTGGCGAAGCGGTGAACGGCAGACAACCGGTCGGCCCATTGAAAGCGACGCTTCCGTCGGAGTCTTCGAAAGCCATTTTGTCGACGTCTTCGTCGGTCACTTCAGGCGCTAACGAAACCCTTAAGACAAATGTGAATTCGCGAACCGAAGACCAATTGAATGCAAACGCGGCCAACAAAAGCGCGTCCAATGAAAAGCACATTACGATTACAGTCGGAGAACCGCAACGCATAGGCGACGGAATGTCCGCTTATGTTGTCTATAAAGTGGAGACCAAAACAGATTATCCCTATTTTAGAAGATCTCACTTCTCAGTGAACCGGCGTTTCAGTGATTTTCTTGGACTTCACGACAAGTTGTCTGAAAAGCACTTACATTTGGGACGAATTATTCCTCCGACACCTGAGAAGAGTGCCGTCGGAATGGCTAAAGTGAAGATGTCTTCCAAAGAGGAGAGCCTGTCGTCCGCCCAGTTCTTCGAGAAGCGAAGGGCAGCTCTCGAGAGATATCTGAACCGAAACGCATCGCATCCGACCCTTTGTGCGGATCCAGACTTTAGAGAATTTGTTGAATTGGACACCGATTTGCCGAAAGCGACCAATACTTCGGCATTAAGTGGTGCCGGAGTTAAGCGTCTATTGAGTCGAATGGGAGACACTGTCAACAAAATCACATTCCGAATGGACGAATCAGATCCGGTTTGTTGTCTTTGTTTATCAATTTATTTGTCATTTTTATATAACATATTATTATTGCTATTAATTACACGCAATACCGATAGTCCTATATATCTAATGCTTACGCATTGCAGGTAACCGATGATTAATCTAACCTTTTGTATACTTTATTAGCCGTAAATAGTGTTTGAATAAATGATAAATAATTGGTTTAAATTGAATTTTAGTGGTTTGAAGAGAAGCAGAATCAGATCGAAAGTCTTGACCAACAGTTGAAAAAACTTTACACAAGTGTTGAGGCGCTTATACATCATAGACGGGAATTGACTCAAACGACCGGCGCTTTCGCTAAGAGCGCTGCAATGCTTGGCAACTGCGAAGAGCATACGTCCCTCTCATGCGCTCTCTCGCAGTTGGCGGAGACCGAGGAGAAGATGGAACAGTTGTATAGCAAACAAGTGGACAACGATTTCTTCTATTTGGCAGAATTGCTCAAAGATTACATCGCATTGATTGGTGCCGTGAAAGAGGCGTTTCACCAGAGAGTGAAAGTATTCCAGATGTGGCAACACTCGCAACAGATGCTCACTAAGAAGCGGGAAGCGAAGGCCAAACTCGAATTGGCCCTCAAAACGGACAAAATATCTCAAGCGAACGAAGAAGTGATTGAGGTTTGAATTAAGTCTTGATTTATCACAAAGATTGACCACTATTTGTGATTGTAATGAATTGTATATCTGTTTGTTTAGTGGGAATCAAAGGTGAGCAGAGGTCAGGAGGAGTTTGAGAGCGTGTCTAAGACTATACGTCTAGAAGTGGAACGCTTTGAATTGTTACGGATTCGCGACTTCAAGACTAATATCATTAAATATATGGAATCATTGCTCGAAAGCCAACAGCAACTCATCAAATACTGGGAGGCATTCCTTCCTGAGGCGAAGGCCATCGCCTGAAATCTATCCATTGTTTTATTTATAATATATATATTATTATTGAATTCTATTTATTTAATTAGTTTTTGCTGATTATTGATTACTTATATATTGATTATTAATATTAAATTTAATGATTTATTAAAAGTTTACTAAATTTTTTGTTCAAACAATGATAGGAGTAATTATAAGATTTTAAACGATGATAAATTAAGCTTATATTGTAATTATTGCCAATTGTTGGTTGCAATACATGTATTGTTTTATAATATTTTCTACTAAATGATTGCGATAAAAATGAATGATTTATTGACATTGCATTAATATTAATAAGTAATTCAGTGTTTGGAAACACTATGCTTACAATACTGGCAATTGTTTGGAAACAACATTTCAATCCTAAAGTGTCCAAATTCAATGTTATGTAAGTTTGTTTGCAATGCAGTGAAGTTGGCTTACAGTTCGAGTGAAGCGCTCTATACTGTGATTGTTGTGACTGTTTGTGACGCCAATGAGTGACTCAATGCGTGAGCGCACAACTCATCCAATCCTCACTCCAAGTGTTGACGAACAACACTTGTCTCACATCTGTTCCCAATTGTCACCTCAATTGTGACCGCAATAAACATGATTTCCTATATCTCTGTCGCTATTACTCTGACAATATGTCTAATGGATGTTTCGGCAGCTTTTTATGGCCACTCTTTGCCAGATATGTCACAAGTGGATCAGGTTTGAATTGTTTGAGTGATTCCATGCGAAGTTCGCATTGCGAACAGTTATTCACATTCACTATTTATTACGAACAGAGTCTTCGAGTGGAGCGCATGAATGAATGGCAGGCGAAGAAGTCAGCGAAAGAAGTGGACAATTGGCCGGTTGTGGAGACAACTCAAATGTTGGGCGAAGTGTCGGGAGTGGCCACCAGTAGAGACAATAGCGTTCATGTGTTTCATAGAGTGGAGAGAGTCTGGGACGCCACGTGAGTCGTGAACTGACCATTAAGTGGCCATCAATTGATAATTGATTTGTTTAATTGACAGCACTTTCGATATGAATAATGTCTACAACGGAAGGAATGGACAGCCGATACAAAACGACACTATTTTGGTATTGG